GTCTGCTTCCATTGCTGTAACCACCCCCACAGGGCATTTGCCACCATCCATGAGTCAGTATGGAGGTAGAGCATCGGCCACTTTTCTGGCTCAGCAATGCCTAAAGCCAGCTGGATGGCTTTCATCTCTACAAGCTCACTTGATTCATCTCCTTCAGCAGTTTCTGCAACTTGTCGTATAGGGCTCCATATAGCAGCCTTCTACCTTCGATGCTTTCCCACAATGCAACAGGGCATATTACTTCTCATTTTCTGACATTTTTCTCATTTCTTTCTCATTTTTATTGTACAGTGGGACCTCTTCAGCACATGTCACCTCTGGCAATATTCAGAAATCTTTGTCTTCTGGCCAGTTCGTGATCACTTCCAGAGTTCCTGGGTGATTTGGGTTTCCTGTTTGAGCCCACTGTGTGATCAGTGTGACCCATTTACTCCACATAGCATGAGTTGCATGGTGTGTAGAGGGGTCCCTCTGAACATCCAGCCCAGCACTGGCAGTCGGGGTGCCAGGAGGAGCTGTGCTTCGGTACCAGCCACCTCTGAAGCAGTTCAAACTACTTTGTATGCTGCCAATATCTCTTGTTCAATTGGAGTGTAGTGGGCCTTGGATCCTCTGTATCCCCAACTCCAAAACCCCAGGGGCTGACCTCAAGTCTCCCCTGGTGCTTTCTGCCAGAGACTCCAGGTAGGGCCATTCTCCCTGGCTGTGGTGTAGAGCATGTCTGTTACATCTTGTCCTGCCTGGACTGGCCCAAGGGCTACAGCATGAACTATTTCCTGTTTAATTTGTTCAAAGGCTCAGGGCCCCTTTTGAAATTGTTATTCTTCTGGGTCACCTGATAAAGAGGGCTTACGATCAGACCGTAATTCGGAATATGTATTCTTCAAAAACCCACAGTGCCTAAGAAAGCTTGTGTTTCCTTTTTGTTAGTTGGTGGAGACATAGCTGCGTTGTTGATCGCATCCATTGGGATCTGATGACGTCCATGTTGCCATTTTATTCTTAAAATCTGGATCTCCTGTGCAGGTCCCTTGACCTTTGTTTTATGGTGAAACTAGCTTTTATTTTGGACCATTTTCTTCTCTTTCTCAGAAAATTCTTCTGCTGTGTTGCCCTATACAATGATGTCATCAATGTATTGCAGATGCTCTGAAGCCTCACCCTCTTCCAGTGCAGTCTGGATCAGCCCATGGCAAATGGTGGGGTTGTGTTTTCACCCCTGGGGCAGTCGATTCCAGGTGTACTGGACGCCCCTCCAAGTGAAAGCAAACTGTGGCCTGCAGTCTGCTGCAAAAGGGATTGAAAAAAGCATTTGTGATATCAGTTGTGGCGTACCACTTGGCTGCCTTTGACTCGAGTTCATACTGAAGTTTCAGCATGTCCAGTGAGGCAACACTCAGCAGCAGCATGACTTCATTCAGGCCATGATAGTCTATTGTCAAGTCTCCACTCTCCATTAGACTTTCACACTGGCCATATGGGACTGTTAAAGGGTGAGTGAGTTCTGCTGGTCACTCCTTAGCTCTCCAGTTGCCAAATTAGCTTATGGATAGGAATCAGGGAGTCTCAGTTGGTGCAATGTTGCCACTGGTGCACTGTTGTGGTAGTGATCGGCATATGTTGTTCTTCAGTCCTCACCAACCCCACAACAGAAGGGTCCTCTGACAGACTGGGCAAAGTAGACAGCTGTTCAGTTTCGTCCATCTCCAAGGCGGCTATGCCAAAAGCCCACCGGTACCGTTTTGGGTCCTTGAAATACCCTCTCTGGAGGTAGCCAGTGCCAAGAATACACAGAGCCTCTGGACCAGTCACAATGAGGTGCTTGTGCCACTCATTCCCAGTTAGACTCACTTCAGCCTCCAGTACAGTTAGCTGTTGGGATCCACCTGTCGACAGTTAGCTGTTGGCATCCCCCTGTCACTCCAGAAATACAGATGAGCTCTGTCCCTTCATAGCTGGATATCATAAGGGTACACTGTGCACTGGTGTCCACTAGAGCCTTATACTCCTGTGGGTCTGACGTGCCAGGCGATCGGATCCGCACAGTCTGATAAACCCAATTGTCCCTTTCCTCCATCTGGCTGGAGGCAGGGTGCCTCTAATCCTGCTCATCGTATTCACTACTCACTTCTTGCAAAAATGACTTAGAAGTTCCTTCAAAAGGATCATAAGTATGATCAGGCCTTCCACTTGCTATGGGGAACTGCCCGCTGGAAACTGGAGCAGCATTTTCCTTGGAAGAATCCCCTTTTGTAATTGTTTTTTCTTGCAACTGATGTACTTGTGCCTCTAGGGTCGAGGTAGGTTTTCCATCCCACTTCCTCATGTCCTCTCTGTGCTCATGCAGGTAAGACCACAGGGTGCCTCATGGTGTGTTCCCTCTATATCCTCTCTCTTGAGCGGAGGAATGCTTACTCCTAGTAGCTGAGATAGTGGCCCATACAGGTGGGGAACAGGGCATACTCTGAGTTGCTGGACCTTCCTGGACAGTTTCTCTGTAGCCGAGATGAGGGAGGAAGAGAGACTTTCTTTGTATTGCCAGAGTCAGTCAGCCAGCTGCTTCATCCACTGTTGGTGCCTCTTTGCCTTTCCAGTCCATTACTGCCAATGAGTTGGCGTACAACGATGGCGCGCTCCATACAAACTTCCACCACATGGATCGTGTGCACTGAACTTCATCAGGGTCTGTGGGTAACTGCGTGTTGTCTGAGTCATAATAAACCATCTCCCACATGGCTAATTCCCTCAGGTACTGGACATCTTGCTCCATGGTGGTCCAATTGCCTGAATGACATACATCTTCACTGAAGGGATACCTTTCCCTCATGCCTGACAGAAGTCGCTTCCAGAGGCTGAGGGGTTGTTTCTTTTTTCCAGTCGCTTTGTCAGTAGCCCTTCCTTAGACAGGGATCCTAGCTGCCTGACTTCCCTACCCTCTAATCCCAAGCTATGGGCCCCATAGCTCCCCAGCATCGGAGCAGCCAGGTGACAATGTGCTCACTTGGAAGGCAGCTGAAATCTTTTCACATATCTCGCAGCTCACTCAGGGACAGGGAATGGGTGATTACCTCTGGTTCTGCCTCTTCCTTCTGTTCTGATGATGGTCCTGGTTCATCATCATCATCCCTTACTAAGTGAACTGATTTTTTTAAATGTATTTCTCTTGTGCATAGAGGTGACTGATAGCAGTCTGGTTTGTGGTTTTTGGTTTTTTTTAAGTTCAGCCACAGGGCCTGTCACCAGGGTTTGAGTAGCCGCAGTGCCTGTTGCTCTGTTTGCCTTCTTTTCCTCCTGAGGGCACTGCCTAATACTGAGCAGTGTTTGGTAGATACTGGCCAGGGCCCAACACAGTGCAGTAAGTTGTGCCTCTTTACAATAGCCACAGCATTTACCTTTTACATATTGTATCACTGCATCAGGGTCCTGTAGTTGTTCGGGAGTGAAGTTCTAAACCACTGGAGGTGAGAAGTTCTCTAGACACCTGCCCATATTCTCCCACATGCCATGCCATCCGTGACTATTCAGCCTTGGGGCAGATCTCTGGGTAGTATTCTTAAAACAAATTTTTATAACCCTAAACTAGATCTAAAACACATTCAGGAGACATAGCAATAGGAGCATGCTGGCTTGGACATCCCAGGGGTACTCAAAATTCTCAAAAGCTGTTGTAACCAGCCTGAAGGAAAAAGGGGAGGTGAAAGAGTGGGAGAAAGTACCCCCCCTCCCATCTTTCCCATAGATTGGGTGGGATTATTAAAAATTCCAAAAAAATGTTGTTTGAGGTACAGTCATGACAGCAATGCCAGATACAAATACCAGCCTAATGTCAACACCAGTGATGATATCATGTCCTAAGTTGATATTACACAGTACAGCAAAATGAGAATCCGGACCCCTCCCCCAGAGGTGATAAGCAGTGCCACGGGGAATACATACAGGAAGTAAGGATTTACATAGCACAACAATGTGACCAAACTAAATGCATTGTGACCAGTGACTATTCGACTAATATAATAAATGTGTATAACAAATTTTTTTTTAACATGCTCTGGTCAGAGCTGTCATTATCTCAACCCATTTTGCCCCACATTGGGTGCCAAACAGGACTGCCAGCAGCTGAGCATCACACAACCACTCACTCCCTCCTCATTATCCCTGGTGGGACAGGGAGGAGAATCAGAAAAAAAAGTTAAAACTCATGGATTGGGATAAGCACAGCTTACTAGGACAGTAAAAGAAGAGGGAAATAACAACAATGCTAATAAAAGAATACACAATGCAATTTGCTCACCACCTGGAACCTGATTCCCAGCCCATCCCTGAGCAGTGATTCCCCCTTCCCAGGTAGCTCTCCCCCCTTATATACTGAGCATGATGTCATACAGTATGGAATATGCCGTTGGCTAGTTTGGGTCAACTGTCCTGGCTGTGTCCTCAAGTTTCCTGTGAAAATTAACTCTATCCCAGCCAAAAACCAGGACAGCATTATCTAATTTTGGAGAGCTAAAGTGCTCGTCTGGTTCACATCTCACCAGCTGCAGGGCTGATGTTTAAATTCTGAAGTTTTCATGGCACTTTAGTGTATTCCAGTAGTTTGTTTAAGGCTTTCTTTCCTAATATAAACTTCGTAAAGTTTGACCTTTCTTAAATAGTGTTCCTTTCAAAGAGCGGAAGTGGTTTATGTGGCAGATACAGGTTGCATTCGGGTCAGGATTTCAGTTTGGCTCCAGAGCCTACACTTAACCTAGTCTCGTGGTTGTTGCTGCATACTGTGCTTCGATTTACATCATGGGGTGGTTTTGGAGCACACAAACTGGTTTACTTTTTGGTGAAAATAAATTGAAAGATACGATCTCAGTGCTGATGAGCAGTCTACTGGGCTAGAGCAGAGCTAGTCTGAAACATTAGAAGTAATGTCTCCTTCCCTTCCCCCCAAATGTGTGTAGTGCCAACATCAGGTCCCCAGTACTGAATTTTGGTGAGTAGATGGTGATGAGCAGATGGAGACTACAGGGATGCAGGTTGTCCCCTCGCAGCCCGTGGAGGGCCACAGTGGAGCAGGTATCCACACTGCAGCTTGTGGGGGACCCCATGCTGGAGCAGGTGGACATGCCCTGAAAGAAGCTGCAGCCCATGAAGAGCCCACACTTAAGCAGTGTTTTCCTGGAGAACTGCAGCCCGTGGAAAGGACCCATGCTGGGGCAGGGGAAAAGTGTGAGGAGCTGTTAGGGACTGACCATAACCCCCTTTCCCCATCTTCACTGAAATTTCTTCACCAAAAGGATTGTCAGGAATTGGAACAAGTTGCCCAGGGAAGTGGTTGAGTCCCTATTCCTGTAGGTATTGTAAAAGACACATAGACATAGTGCTTAGGGACATGGTTTAGTGGTGGACTTGGTAGTGTTAGGTTAATGGTTGGACCTGATGATCATAAGGGTGTTCTCCAACTGAAATAATTCTATGATTCTATCTCCCCTAGGGAGAAGCAGGGAGATGGAGGAGTTGGGAATGAAGGAACGAAGTTGAGTATGGAAGGAAGGGGAAGTGTAGGGGGAAGGTGTTTCAGTTTTTGTCTTTCTCACAATCCTCTTTTTTTTAATTGGCATTAAATATAATTTTCCCCAAGTCAAGTCTGCTTTGCCTGTGATGTTAATTGGTAAGTGATCTCACTTTTATCTCAGCCTACAAGCTTTTTAAGTTTATTTTCACTCCCCATCCTGTTGAGGAGGCAGAGCTAGAGAGTGGCTGGGTGGGCATCTGGCAGCTGGCCAAGGTCAGCCCACCACACTTGTGTACCTAGAATATCTAGTTCAACTTAAAAAAAAAAATTATTCTTTCAACCTTCTTTAAAACATGCTATTGATTTAAATAGTTCATTTTGTTTGTATTATGAACATGAATAAGAGTTTAGCGGTCACATTTTGTAATCCAGTAGTAGCACCTTGTTTTAGCATGTTTTTTTAGCAGATGAAGTTAAAACTCTTAGTCCACTGTCACCAGAGACATACAAACCTACTTTTCTCTCCAGTTCTCTAGTGCATCTCTAGTTAAATATTCTGTAACAGGATTACTTGCCTGCTCCTGCCCTGCAATGCTTTGTTTGTCATGCCAGCAGTGTTTTGCAGCACTGCAAGGAGCAGGATTGGGAAACCAATTCAGCTGAATATTTTTCCTCCTGGCTGTTTTTCAGCCGGGTATGTTTCTTGATCCAGTTTACAGCTCAACTCTGCAAAAACCTTTTGCTGGCATAATGGAAAGAATGGAGCAGCATGGTCAGGTGGGGCATGCACGGAAATGGGTGTTCCTGCTGGAATCATGTCAGGGAATGGTTGAAGAAAGGCTATGTTGTCTATCAGGGTGATGTTTAGGGGTCTGTGAGATAGAGATGCGACTCTCTGGATCAGAGACTCCAAATACGGACATGCACTGTTCTCTTTTAAGCCCAGATGCTGTAGTCAGTAAAATTACTTTTGAGTCAAACATCTTTGTTTTGTTGTTTTGGTTTTTCTCTTGATCTTTCCTAAGGAAGTTTTTCTGAGTTTTTCCACAGTAGCTTTTGCCTTACTGGCTAGAAATGTTTAGTTTTTATTTCAGTTTACTGTGAGATGACCTAGTTTTGTATTCCATGACTCCTGATTATCCCTCTCTTTTGCCCTCTTTCCTGCTGCTTGGACAAGTTGAAAAATCCTGTAGCACTCAATTCCTTGGTCCTTTTATATCCAGAATAAATGTGATCCTTGGCAAACTGTCTTCCCTGAAGTTTAGCAACTGTTAAAAAAAAATAATCCAAAAATGCGTAACTTCTTTGTTTCTATGTGAAATACTAATTTAGCAATCAATTTATAAAAACCCAAAAACAAATATCACCCCTCAGTCCCCAGCACCATAACTAGTTAGACTTTCTAAGCAAGGCAACAAAACAGTAACGGGTTATCTGAGTCCTTTTAATGCACCTGCTCTTGAAGACTACCAAAAAAGTAGTAAAATGTTTCAATACAATTCCTAGCAGTGAGGCAGCCACCATGAGGTCATACTCAATACTATCTCTTTGAGTGTTACAGATAATCAACAGACACTAGACATGAGAGTCCCAGTGTACATAAGAAGAAAGATAGCTTTCTCCTTGATATTATCCTCCCATGGTGGGAACAAGGTCATTGATGGAGTTGTGGGGGGGTGGAAAATGTATGGGTGATTTCCAAGTTCTTGTTTTGTAGAAAAATAGCATTTTTAGTTGTTGCCACCAGGCAGCAAATATTTTTTAAATGTAGAAGGTTAGTTTAAAAGAATGATTATGGTATATGAGGTGTGTTGTCTGGCAGTTGGAGTTGGCTAATAATGTTATGGGTTATAGGACTTGTCTGCACCAGACCTTCAAAATTTCAGCACAGACTTTGGCCAAGATATGGATGCTGGCTTAGCCATGAACCACTCCAGGAATTACAGTGATCATTTAGTATAATATCAGCAGTTTGAGTTTTTGTTGTCTCTGAAAGCTATCTTTGCCTTGAAGAGCTCCTCAGATCTCTGCAGTGCTATGTGCAGTCTTTGCTCCAAATGTGTTGCCTTTTCCAGCCTTAACTAAATATTTATTCCGGTGTTCATGCATCAGGAAAATTTTTAATCATGAGGCCAGAAATCTTCCTAAATATGTTTGTAATCAAGGCTGGAAGAGGGTGGAGTGAGAACCTGTCTTGGTTAGGAGAAATAATACACAAGATGATTTTACTGGCATTCGGAAGGACCTTGACAGGCTGGAGAAATGGGCCAACAGGGATCTCGTGTAATTCAACAAAGGGAAAGGCTGAGTACTGCACCTGGGGAGGAGTAACCCCTGCACCAGTACAAGCTGGGGACAACTGGCTGGAAAGCAGCTTTGCAGGGAAAGACCTAGGAGTCTCGGTGGACAACCAAGTGAACATGAGCCAGCAATGTGCCCTTGTGGCAATAAAGGCCAGTGGTATCCTGGGCTACATTAGGAGGAGTGTTGCCAGCAGGTCGAGGGAGGTGATCCTTCCCCTCTACTCAGAACTGGTGAGGCCACACCTAGAGTGCTGGGTCCAGTTCTGGGCTCCCCAGTATGAGACAGACATGGCCGTACTGAATGTGTCAACCAAAGGGTTGCAAATGTGGGGAATCTTAAACCATCTGGTGTGAGGTGAGGCTGAGGTATCTGATGATGTTTAGCTTGAAGAAGAGAATGCTCGGGGATCTCAAGAGTGTATATAAATACCTGATGGAGGTTGTAAAGAGGATGGAGCCAGGCTCTTTTCCGTGGTGTCAAGTGACAGGACAAGAGGCAACGGGCACAAATTGAAATACAGGAATTTCCACTGGAGAATAAGAAGAAACATTTTTGCTCTAGGGGTGACTGAACACTGGAGCAGGCTGCGTTGTGGAGTCTGCGTTCTCGGAGGTGCTCAAAACCTGACTGGATACGGTCCTGGGTGGCTGGCTCTAGTTTACTGTGCTTTGAGCAGTGGTGGTTGGAGTAGACAATTTCCAGGGGTTACTTCTAACCTCAGCTATTACGTGATTGTGTGAAATGATCAGACGAGAAGGCATTTCCTTCAGTTTTGCCTCTCCAACTGTTGATTTTTTCTTCACTACAGGTGGCTCAGCTGTTGGACATGAGTGACTAATAGGTTTATAGTGAATTTGGCAGTCATTTCCAAAAGCATCCCTTCTGAAGGGGACAAAAAATATTCCTTTTTCCTCACTTATTTCAGAGCGATCTGTTTTTTTGGCTGTTTTTTTTAAGGGTGAGTGACTGGGAAAATTCTGTGTTAATCCAGCCTTTTAGTGCTCATTTTTATCTTGTGCTACAGACTGATTTCCAGTGCTGCTCTCTTCTATTGCTCAATATTTTCCAAACAGCAGCAGAATTTTATTTTTATTTTTATTTTTATTTCATTTTCATTTTTATTTCATTTTCATTTTTATTTCATTTTCATTTTTATTTCATTTTTATTTTTATTTCATTTTTATTTTATTTTTAAATAAACTTGTGGCTGTTCACTGTATTCGGAATGCATGGATGGAAACTGTGACTGATCACTTTTACTCTGCTGTAGCTTGGCAAAGCTGTAGGAGTAAGTAGTCATGAAAACTCAGTTTTTGTGGAAGACTGGGCAGACTACGTGCTGGTGGGTTACATCTGGTCTGTCTTTGGCACATTCTTTTCAAGAAAACTGACATATAAAGCAGTAAACCACTTCAAAAATGGTAACAGATTTTCATGAAGCTAATGGTATCTATCCAAGAGAGCTTAATTTTTTTCCCATATTAAAAAAAAAAGAATAGAGATAAGCACTTACCTTTTCCACTGTACAAAATGTGTAAACTAAACCAGTGATTTTCAGACTGTCACACACAGTTGAACATGGTAGCCTTTGTGTTATAAGATATGTTGATAGTCTTAATCCAGAGATAAAATTCCAGATTGCCTGTATATTTTGATATACACATTTCTAACCCGTTAACTTGTACTTAAAGGATTTCTCATTTTCTTTCTCTGATTTGTATAGGTGGAAAAAAACAAACATAGCTTTCTCAGCTTTTTGAGCTGGGAAAAGATAAAATGTTTCAGGAACAGACTGACAACAGACTGGGGAGATGAGGCAAAGTCCGTTATGTTTTCCCCTCAATCGTATAGCTTGATAGGGTATCACTAGCAGCCTTTCTTTATTGTTAACTTTTTAGTATATGGCTTCAAATTATAATGGTGCGCAACAGAAATCTGTGTAGTGAGGTAGCAAAGTTGTTAGTGTTCTCTTTTTTTTCTCCCCACAGGTATCAAGCATGATGGAACTATGTGTGATACATGTCGACAGCAACCCATTATTGGCATCCGATGGAAATGTGCTGAATGCACAAATTATGACTTGTGCACAGTTTGCTATCATGGAGACAAACATCACTTGAGGCATCGTTTTTACAGAATTACCACACCAGGAAGTGAAAGGTAACATGTAATTTTTTCCCTATGAAATTAAATAGGAACAGTTAATTGTAGTTAACTGTTAAACTGCAGATTTGGTTACTGAAACTTGGATAAGGTAAGATAGTGGCTTGAGGTGTTCATTCTGTTACTGGTTCTGCCTTTTTCTGAGGGAGGGTAGCTAGGACCTTTGGAGCTTGGAAAACACAGAAATTTTAGAAAGTATGGAGTAGAGAAAAAAGCTAGGATATGATTATTCAGTTTCTTTTAACCTCATTGCAGTCTTCCTAGTTCTTTTGTTATCACATAGCAGCTTTTAAACAAAGGCAATTGTCTTTACACAATGTATAATCACAAAATGATTTGTCAATGAATTCCTGAATGTGAAAGTTTAATTAGGTTCAAAAATGGTGTAGAAAGATTGAGGGGAAAATATCCTCCTTGTGTGCTATGAAAAACAGAATGGAGACAAAACCTTTGACTTGAACTGCTTAAACTGCTCAGTACAGAAAGCAGAGAAAAGATGCTGTGAAGGGTTGTTCTACCCTTGCCTTGGTTTTCATGTTCTTTTCTTAAGCATCTATTATTGTCTCCCAGCAAAGAACTCTGAACAAAATTGACATTTAGTGTGTTTGTGCATCGCTGTTCTTGTGTTCTTGACTTTAAATAACTTCTCTAAATCCAAAGCCCCTCTCTCATGATTTGTCTATCGGTTAAGTGAGAACAGTGATACTGGCCTGTTACTAAATACTTGGAGAGCTATGGTAAAGCATTTTGTAAAGGCTATGTGCTCTAATATCACCTCTGTGATAACTCCCCAGAATGTCATTTCATTAAATCGTTGGAAGCTTTTTTGTTAGATATGATACTCAGTTAAATGTGACATGTGTAAGACAATATTTATTTCCTCTTCTTGGAGAAGTAAGGCTTAATATGTTGTAATTCAGTGATGTGCTTTTATCAGTGCTTTTACAGTTAAGGGAAGCAGTTGGAGCATACACACTGAGTTCTTGTATCGTGTCTTGTAGGGACTGTGTTTATTTTTTTCAACTGTTTGTCTTGACATTTAACTATGTCTCAGATGGCCAGGTCAGTGGCTTAAGCAAAAAAGTAACTTCTGGTTTTTTGAGATTCATGCCAGCAGATCTAGGTACCAAATAGATATTATAAGTGTACTGTCTCAATTATAATGTCTAATGCAGTGCAAGACTTAGAAGTTGGGTCCAAGAGTAGAAAGAGCTGGCTTAGTGTGATTAATAGACATTAGTGTGATTAATAGAGAAATCTTCTATTTCCTATTTATTTCTTTTTTAAAAATCTCATTGCTTTTGCAAATGCTTGCCAGACATTTTTTCTTCTATATAGTTGGGTTTTTTTCAGCTGAAGCTTCCTTTGTAGTTTTAAGTGGTCTGTTATGGTGTATAAAACATAAGTTTTAGTTTTGGAGATAGATTGTACACAATGTATAGAATTGCAGGAAATCTTTTGCATCTTGTCCCTTTCTCCCTGTCTTTGTTTACTCCCATTGAATTCTGTTTTGCAGCTTTTACCTAGAAGGCAGCTCCATCTGCCAAGGGAGCTATATCTATTGGATCAAGCATAGCTGAGAAAAATTGATTAAAGTTAGCTGTTTGAAGGAGGAAAGAGCAAAGCAGTGCTATTGAATTTGAGGGATATCTCATAGGAAAAATTGTAAGAGGCATCTAAGGACATTTGGATGAAGGAAATCATAAGCTGTACCTATTCTTGACTCCAGGATATATGGGCAGCATACCGAAGTAATGTATGCTGGGTTTTGTTTCGGTTTGGTAGGTGTTCAGAACTTTGTAAAATGCTGCTATAAACAACATATCTTTGTTTTCTATCACTTTCTTATATTACTTAGCTAAAATGGCTAATGTTTTCATGTGCTCTGTGCATTGATTCTAACAGTTTAACTTTTTCCTTGTCTGCCATCTGCTGGATGTTAAAAGTTTAGCAGCAGGGTGATACACTTCCTGAAGAGGTTAGGAAAGATTCAGAATTTCAGCTGAAAAATACTTTTGTCTGGCAACATTTTCCTGGCATGAAGTAAGAAATCTGGTTGCATGCAAAGTGGTAGCTTTTGAGATGACAGAAAAGACAGGAAAATGTTTGTGTCTCTGTGTCTGTTTGTAAGTTTAATAGGAGCTGTTCTGTTTGGACTTACCTACTTCAATTCTATTGAAGTCAGAAGGAAGGAAGAGGTTTGCTTTAGAAAAATAACATACTATGTCTGAAAAAACGAATGCCAATATATGGAATTAAATTTGACAAGATATGCTATAAAAAGTATGTAGAAAGGACTAATATTGGCCTAGGGTGCATCGATGAGAAACAGAAATATGTTGTTTGTAGGACTCTCTATGTTTCTTTAATGATTTTAATAATGAGTACAGATGTATATATAAGTGGTTATAAGATTATTGGTGGTAGTAGGAAGTTTGGAGAAGAAATTATCATTAGAATTAAAAACTAATTATAAATATACAATAAAACAGATATAGGAAGATCATGGTTTTTTTATCTTGTGGGCTGCTGTTAGAGTTGAGAATTGAATGGATGTTATTCATGCACCGAAATCTGCGTTTGTGGGGTTATTTTTGTTTCAAGATGCTCTCCTTCCTTCCTATCCCCAAAGATTTCTTTTGGACTGACTTTATTATTTTGACATGTGTGGGTTCTTTTTTTAATAACTTCAGGGTATTGTTGGAGTCTCGCCGTAAATCAAAGAAAATTACAGCAAGAGGAATCTTTGCAGGTGCCAGGGTGGTGCGGGGAGTTGACTGGCAATGGGAAGATCAAGATGGTGGCAATGGGCGTAGAGGAAAGGTAAAAATAAAACTAGTTTAAATAAGAAGATGCATCTCTGCATACTCATGTAATGGCCTCAGTGGCCTTTCTAATCACAGAGTAAAAATATAATCATAGAAGATACTATTTTAATCTGCTGGACATTTTTGAATCTTACTCTGTAATGCTCAAGTATTTAGAAGGAGGAGGGGATGTATACTATGACCATTTTTGTGGTTTTTTTGTTTATGTTTTGTTTTTTTAATTTAAATTTACATTTTTACAATACCAGCACAAAATTTTTAAAGGTATTAAATTTTTGTCTTGGTTGTTCTGTTTAAGACTGGCTTGTAACAACATTAAGATCTCGGGTATATTTCAGCATTACTAGAGAGCTGATATAAAAACAGACCTATCAGGATTAGTCCTTTTGGTCCTCACTGCATTCTGTAGTCTTATTACTTGTGGGTCAGCAAATTTGTTTATCTCTTGCTCTTGGTTTTCAGTGCTTGCACCCTGGATTTTTGGTTTTCATCTAGTAATTATAGGGACTTTTCCAGTTTAAAATTAAAAACTTTACACGTGATTGAATATGGATATTATATTACTGACTTAGGACATTGAGAGTGTTTTTTATATAGTTACATAATAAAAATATTTGGATTTATTGACAATTGAATGGAATAATATGTTGCTAATCATAACTTTTGCAAATTTTCTGTTTAAAACTTACATTTACCTTGAGAACTAATGAAGATTTGTTGTAAGTGTGAACATGCAGCAGGGAGTGTAAAATAAACTATGACTTTTATCACCAAATATGAGATGTTCTAGGAGAATTGGATGCCCTTATGTCTTGGTGAACTGGTGGATTTTGTTGGATTTATTTTTAGTACACTTAAGCAGCATTTAAAGGAAAGTGAAAAGTTCCTGAGTAAATGGAAGCTTCAGGGCTTTTGGGGATTTAATTTTGAATTTTACTGAGAGGAAAGAATAAATTTAAATCTCTTAAAGCAAGGGATATTCAGATGTAGCTTTTTCATTTTAATTATTTACCCCTTGCTGTGAATTTGGCAAGATAATTTGAAATCTCTGAAACTCAGCAAAATAAGAGTCTCATCCTGCATTGTCTGCTTTATGTACTAAACTTGAATTAGTGGGATTATTTGCAAGCTGAAAATATGTATAAATGCATATAAATGTTTTTAATGAGGAAACACAGATGGTAGATAGCAGAAACAGCTTTTAAATAAATACAAACAAGAATGAAGACAAATTCTGGAAATTTATTTTTTTGAATAATGGAAGTGTGTTCAGAATTTGGTGCATGGCCTCATGATTTCAAAAATGTCAGGGATAGTCCTTTTCACTCTGCTTTTGTACTGTTGTTAAACAGATCAGCTCTGGAAATAAAACATTGTCTCCTAACATAGTGTACTGCCACCAGGCTAATGCAGGTTGAACAAGACAAATTGAAGCAATTAAAATAGTTTTCATCCTGTTTCTCTTAGTTAAATGCTGCTTCTAGTAAGAACATGTCAAAGCATCATAAAATAAATTTGTTCAGATTTTGTTCTCTACTTTATGTAGCTAGATTACCTACTGAACAGACAAAAGAAAAAGAGGCCTATAAAGTATATATTCAGGCTGCCATCTTATTGAGACACCTAGGGAACATTTGTATCAAACAGAAAACAGTGTCAGAATAAGTTGTAGTAAATTCTGTAAAACTGCAGTATCCTGAATTATTCTGAAGAGACGAATAAGGTTTTAAGTTCAAATTGTGCTTCTAAAGTCTTTGTTGTAGAAACATTTTTCTTATTTTTAAAACTGAATAGGTAACTGAAATCCAAGATTGGAGTGCGTCGAGTCCCCATAGCGCAGCATATGTTCTTTGGGACAATGGTGCTAAAAACCTTTACAGAGTTGGCTTTGAGGGCATGGTAAGTATAAAAGAACACAAAGAGTAAAACACATGGTGGGGGAAGGGTAGTAAGAATAACTTGTTGTGCTTTATTATCCTGCTTTTGTAATATCCTTTGTCAGTTTGCATGCTCTTAGTTGGGTCATTGTGAATACAGCTGTATGGATCATGCATATGCATTAGGAAGAAAGTCTGATCTGGGAATTTCTAAAACATGTGAATAACTTAAAGCTAAGGGCTGGTTTCTGCCAGACTATAGGAAACATTTACATCTCATACATGATTATCTTACTGTGCTACTATTGTACTTAATTAAGATTCAGAAAAGAAAAAGAAGCTTAGTTAGGAACTCTTTAAAAACTGTATTTCTTTAACTCCTGAACTCTTCAGTTCACTTCAAATTTTGGTGTGAGTACTGCAAGATTTGCAGTTTTTAAATTACTGGCAACACTCAGAATCCTTTTGAGAGCAATTGGTGGGTTTTTTTGTCAATGGAAAGGTGTTGAATTAAGTTTTTCTTCTTCACTTCCCAGCTTCTACTGCTACTTCTACAGCTTTAGAGAGAAAATGGGTCAGACTGTAGCCTAAGTGCCTTCTGTTGCTGGATTTTCTTATCCTAATGTGGGTCAGGGAGAGGTTACTTTGATTATCAGCTGCTTATGATATCTTACTTAGCATTTTCTTTGCATGATTTTTGTTTGATACTGTGGAGGAAAACCTTGTTAACATTGAAGTGTCATCTTGTCAGATGTGTATCAGTACAAAATGTTAAACAATGACTAATTTTTTTGAAAGTATAATATTTTGCCTTATAGCCTCACTTAAATAAAGTTTATTTTTATAATAAAAAATAAATACTAAATACCACTTTTGCAGTAAGTATATATTTTAGTGTCATGTTTAAAAAGAGTAAACATCTTTAATGCAGGTCAGTTTTTCTGGTACATGAAGATGCTAAAGATAAAATATAAGTCAGTATTGAATTATGTGCTTTACAGTCTCCCCCCAGTTCTAAAGAAAATTTCTTATATACTGGCAAAAGGGAAAGTTAGTTATATGTAGTATTTTGTGATATAATATTATTAAACCAATGGTTGTTATCTTCCCCCTTATATTTGAGGAAAAGGAACACAGTTACAGAATTTAGATACAGTGAGATACAGATCAACAGATTGTTTTTTGTTATTGCAATTTCAGTTATGTTAAAATTTGTGGACTGCATAGTAGGAGTTCTGGCCTCAGAAAAAATCCATTTAAGATAAGTTACATTCTGTTCTGAAACAGTTATTCCCTTACAAAAAAATAAATCTATTTTTATTATTAAATCAACTGTTTTTTGTTGCCAAACTATTGCCACATAAGGAAGTGTTATATGTTTCTAGAATACTTGATTAACTACTGCAACTGTACATTTTAATGGATAAGGGTGACCCTTCTCACAAGATTCATACAAATAGAAATATTTGGTTAGTCATTAAATTAAGAACAAAAACCTGTTAAAATGTATGCGAAACTACGTATGTTTTATATATATAGGATAATGCATAAATAATATATGTATAAAAAGGATAATTTGAGGCTGTATTTGTAGTGCTTACTGATTGTAATCCATTCCTACAATAATTTTATCTTTGTCAGATACTTTTATCAAATGCAATTTTCATTTCAGACAGAATGGATTCTTGGATATCTGTGACAAATACCATTTGAATGGAATGCTAAATTTTATAACTGATGAATTGCTTGCTAGGTGTACAATTCACTATGATTATTTGCCACTATTTATGTACCATAATATAAAGCTGACTAAATAGACTGTCAGAAAGTTCATATGAAGTCGAGGCAAACTTGGCTTGGGACTTAGAAATTGGTTAAGAATGTCCAGAGAATGTGGAATCAACAATACTCAGTGTGTGTGCCCATGTAAATACAGCTGGGAAGAGACCCCTACTTGCAAATGAGTAACACCTGACTCAGATGCAAATGGAGCTGATTAAAGAAACACAGCTTATTATTGTAAGTCAGGGTTGCTTGTCTGATAGCTGACAGGCTGCATCTGGTCCTCAAAATTAATCTATCTGGCCTGCCAGCTTTTCCTTGGGAGAGATGAGGATTGGCTGGTGAGGCAGCAGGTGCTGGCTGAAAACTTGCATTTATTTTTGTCCAGATCCTTAGAGTTTTTATTTGAGTTTGCTGTGGCTGTGTTTACATATGAGGTGGTTGAGAGAGGTGCATCTTGCCTTTCTTTGTGAAGCCTGGCATTTAAATCTGTGAGTTTCTGTTGCCACAGGCCACAAACTCCCAAGCTGAAATCTGTTTTTATGATGCTGTTAGGTTGAATAACATGCTTGCTACATCTGTAGTAGGAATAAGATATTTTTGGGGTAATACAGTTATTGACACTGTTTGCATTTCATATCAATATGTATTCAGATTCTAGAGCCAGACCAAGCTGTTTGCACATTTCTAAAGCATGTAATGTGGTTAACATAGCCTTTTGCAATAGAAGGATACACTAGAGAGTAATTAGAGAGTTAATGAGAAGATTGTAATTTAGCTTTTTGGACTTGTTTCTAGTTTTTATTTCTTCATATCATACAGCTGAGGATGTAAAGCTGGTAACTTCCGTTGATTTTCAATAAGCATTATATACTACTACTTATTAATGGAATGATTTTGCTGGAAAAACTTAAGAAAATAGTTCCATCAGCAGCAGTACCCTAAATCTATTTCATTATTTTGGAGTCGGTTTTGTGCCACCAAATTTCTTTTCTCTGTACCGCTTGCCTTTTTTGCTGTGATTAACCTTCTTTTCTTGTTTTTCATTATGGAGGCTCTCGCTTTCATCTGTGTAGCCTCTGAAAGAATAGCTGTGGTTATCATCCATCATTGTCACAGTCATCTGTAAGCCATCTGTGTTTGTGTACTTTTTTCCACAAATTCTGAATAGTTGAGTGCATAAGGGAAATTGAGAAGATTCCTTGCCCTTGTGTTCTTTTATTTTACTTTAAACTTTCTTACCCTGATCGATACCTCATGTCTGTTCATCAACATTTATTTGGGTTACCCTTAAAGATAATCCTTGAAATTACTCTAGAGGATTTTAAGAATGACTTACACTTTTTTTTTTTCTAAATAAGAACAAGGTAAATGTCTTAGCATACTAGGCATTGCAGGTGAGTGTTATAAAATATATAGAAACATGCTTTCTGCTGCAGTTCCAACTGCCAGATCTGTCATGTAAGTCAGATCTTCAGCTCTCTAGTCCTTCATCTTGTCCTCAGTACATTCAGAATAAAGCCTTTAGGAAGGAGCAACAGGCATTTTCATTATTTTGTTAGTTTAGTGTCCTTCTGTTGCTTCCAGGTGCTGATCAAAACTGATTTAAAGCAAAGAAACATGAATTTTGGCCATCTTTGCACATGCAGCAGGTGGTTTTTTATTACATTACTCACAGTGTAGCCAAAGTTAGGTGGTTAGTTGTTTTGGAATCCAGAGAGGAAGGAGATATTTATGGATAAATTGTGCATTTATTGACATTTGTTAGCAGACTTTGTTTCACTTCTTGTTTACGTAGTCTTATTTCTCTACGTTTTGCCTGTAGTCTCAACCAAGCCAAGTTTTTAATTTCTCTGTGACTGAGTTGCTTAGAAACATATTTTTTTAGGAATGTACTAACTGATCCTTTTCCAATTTTGTTATTTACAGTATTAACCCACAAGGAAGACTTTAAAATGATCCTCCTTAAAAAGAATTACACATGGAAAGTTTTTATAAGTGCCTATAATCAATAGACAGCAAGGTTATAAACCGTTCACTCCGATTTGCCTGAGGTCTCTAAAAAGCTGTTGCTATTGTTTTTATACCTCACACATCTTTGTCATTCCAGTCACTTTCTCTACCATCTTCTACTTTCTCCTTTTATTGCTTTCACTTTCCTCAGCTTCTTGAAACTGAAAATAATTTGAGTTAATTAAATTTGAAATACACCATTTCTTATAAATCTTTAGCTAAAACTTAGGGATTTATCCAGTCACTTGTTGTCTTAATCAGATGACAAAGCAGCATGCACTGGGCTTTCTCCATTTGCGCTGTAAGGGCTTATTTCCTTACTGAAAACTGTTATGAGTTTAAGACTTAAAATGACCTTTAAGGGGTGTATTCATTGCTACCTCAGACACCTGCAGCTGTGGTACCATTCCTGCTGGTATATCTGTAAGATCAGTATTAATTTCTCTTCTGGTATTTGCTGCTGATGTAGGATGCTATTTCACTGCATCTGGATCAAACATTCTTCTTTTTCTTAGCAGCACACCTAGTTTTCTTATCAAGTCTGTAGACTCCCCTCCCTGGTTTTGATGGATGGCGTTCCACATAGATTGGAATAACTTAATAGTTAGTCCAGTACGCGGCTGCTCCTTCAGCGTTGTTTTCCTCTGTGAGGTCAGGGATGATGATGCTTTTACACTATTTGCCAACACTGCTTACATTGCTGTAGTGTGCGGTTTTTCATTCTCTGAAGTTCTTATGATGATGAAATTGCTGCTGGTTTTTTCAATGGTATAATTGGATGGTAAGTCAAAGTAAACTCTGTATTTCCCATTTGGCTGAGCAGTTGTGATTTTTATGTAATCCAGTCACATACAGCTGGAATACAATGAGTTTTTCAGCAAGTCAGGAGGTAGATGCTAGAAGACCAAAGTTCTCTGCTGTAGGCAAAAACCATTATTACCCACTGCTCATGTGCATTGGCTGTTACTACTGATCTGAAAGTCCTGCTGTGCAATGTTTTGTGCTCGTGCTGTTCCTCGAGTTTTCATTATAATGGGTTCCTGCTTAACTTGGGCTTCCATCTCTTCTCTAACTGTACACAAATTCCACAAAATCTATAGCTTGTTTTTCTGTTTCTTGAAGGAATCCTGTTCAAGGTTCGTTAAATCATTTCTTTATTAAGTTAGTGTATAAAAGCTTATGTTTTGTTTTCATCTTTGCACGTTTGTCTCCACCACATATTTACACCCAGCCTCACAGTTGTTACTTCTTTTTCTGTGTGCAGTGTCACTGTGAGTCTAAAACTTGTGTTTTAACATCCCTTGTATTTGGGTACAGTCCCTTTTGCGCTTGTACGTCTCATCTTCAAACAATCTGCTGTTTGAATCCCTTTACAAGACTCAGGGAGACTCATAAAACTTGTAAAAATCCTGGTGGGGTTCTCTGAAACGTGGTACAGCAGAGCTGGCAGCAGTGACGCGCTGGCAGACTGATGTGCCCGGGCTTTAGGCGTGTTTGTGCTCCATCCTCACTAGGGGGGCCTCTTGCCACACAGTTCCCAGGGGAGGGTGACCAGGAGCTTAAGACCACCCCTGATTTTTTTACTTAAACTACTTGGGCAGAAGAAAGCTTGTTTTCCTTTTCTAATAAATAGTAGTAGCTGAGTGCTAGAAGTAGAATTATAGGTGCTTACCCACCTTTCGTGGTCCTGAAGTACAACTAAGTGCAGTTTCCTGTCTTAAAACTCCAGGATCTTTTTTGGGTTTGGCTGTGTTTTTTAAGACATTTGCAGGCCTTTATCATGTTCGTGTTACTTTTCTTAGTAGTGCTGTTTGCAAAGTTTCTGAAGGAACTCTTTGCTGTATATACAGCATATATGAGTTAGTTTTGTACTGCCTTAATTTCTGTCAGTGCCTCATCTTTCTGTGCATGTTGAGTCCTCGATTTTTTGGTGAAGGCTTGTGTAAAAAAAAAAAAAAAAAAAAAAACCCAAACATGTTACCTTGCTTTTCTGTGATACTTAGATCAGACTCTTGTTTTATTCCTTAGTGATCTAACATTGACTTCACCATGTAAGTGAAAGGAAAACAGATGTGTAACTGAGGTTCAACATCAAGCTACCACTTAGTTTTACAACCGAGTATATCATTATATTCCAGAAATAAACTATGCATAGGACACAGTACAGGCAGGGTAAAAAAAGAAAGCAGATTTGTAGATTTCTGGTAACTTTTTTTTTTCCTGTAAAATTTAAGGTATCTTACCGTGCTTCCTAACATTTTTTTTGCTGCAAGATAGTAATTAGCCTTTTACTGCATATTTTATTTCTTCTGCTAGCTTTTAGCCACCAGCCTGCTCTGTATGTTAACACTTGTTGTAACACAAGCGATCTTTCACCCAGCTTTTGCCTGGCTGGGAGGAGAACCATTTAGGACCTTCCCGTGCTCTATTCTTAAAGTTCTGAAGAACGTGAAAACAACTCTTGCATGTCCTGTGCAGGCAGCTGGTTGTTGCATTACACGAAGAGTTTGCATTCAGTGGGTGAGACCAAGTGCTCCCGGGCGCATTAAATCTCTGTTGGTCTGGGGGAATGAACCACTTGCCATCTGGGATGGTCAGCACAGTCCTTTGTCTTCGGCCTAGTTAAACCCAGCACCTGCCCAATGGGTGCAGCGTTTTGCCGCAGGTCTGCTGCTGCTGGGCCAAACCAACTCGCTTTCTCGAGTTTCTCGTGGGATTTGAAGAGCGGCTAAATCTCATTATTTTCATCAGGCTGCTTTTATCACTTTTTCAAAAAGTGGTGGCACGTGCTTTGTAGATCAGGATAGATGCTGAATTTTATATTGTTTCTGGCTGCTTAGCAGTTACAGGTCACTGAGAGTAGTATTGTGTTCGTCAGTGCCTTGATGATTTGGAAGACTCGAGAGTTTTCATTTTAATCCTTTTGCAGGAGCACAGTCTGTCAGTAAATCTTGGGTGTGGGAAAAATAATTGTTACAGTATTTGTTTAGTTCTGGTTAATTATATCATAATCACCACCTGTCCTCTATTTCCTCCCCCATCCCATAGAATATTCTGGCACATTTTGCAAACAGTTTCCTATCTCCTTCCCAACTCATCGTGCACACAAAATGCCCTTTGTTTAGTGTGAATTGTTCCATAAGGAGCAGTGGCAGATGGTAGCCACTTGGTTTTAAGGGTCACACAGAGGAAAAACTAGAGGAAGGGAGAATTGTGGGAACTCCACTGACTTTATGAATAGGAGTTGGTTATCATACTTAAAACCTCTGTTTCTCAGATAATATTAAACAAGGTCTTTCTGGAGGATGGGCTTTAGAACTTTTCTCTTTAAAAAGATCATGTTTAGCTCAGCATACTGGGGTTTTTGTTGTAAAGTAATATCCTGGTGTTTTATATATTCTTAATTGGAAATTCTTCATTTTGTAGAATTTGGGTGCCAGGTTTTCTTCTGTAAGTTAAATGTATATGTTAAAAAGGGTTGGGAGGAGGGAGCAGCACTGGCAGGCATTAAATGATTGGTACAGGAAAGACTGTGACCTCACGCAGTGTTTGCAGATTATTTCTTTTTCTTTGCTTGTGTTTTTAAAAGGGAAGATAACTTTATAGAACAATGCAAAGGAGCTTTGTGTTATTTTAATACATTTCTTTAAATTAAAACTGTCTTATTCTTTATAGTCTTTTATATTGGTGAAGGTTATTAAAATCTTGAGAATGTCGAGACTGATAGATTGGAAAGTATTTGAGATTATATGCATCAGTAACAAATTCATGGAACATGGTTTTGTACACATGATTTTCTTTTTTAATTGAGTGTATTTTGGTTCTAGTTTCACTGACTTATGTTGACCTGGAGGCTCAGTCAGTGAGGACTAAAGCTGTCTCAATCTCTCTCCATAGTCTGACCTGAAATGTGTCCAAGATGCAAAAGGAGGCTCTTTCTACAGGGACCATTGTCCTGTGTTAGGTGAGTTGAAGATAAAGTAAATTTATCTTGATGTGTGTTAATTATACCTGGTCTGGATTTCTCTCCTTTAAATGACAGCTAAAAGGACCGTCCTTACTAGTGAAATGTAAGTGGTAGCATTTCTATGCATTAATAATAAATTGTAGTGCCTTTCTAACAGTATTTGGTATCAGTGTGCCAAGCGGATGGCAAGGGAGCTGCTAAGTGTTGACTAAGGAATAAATTGAGTCATGTGCTTTGTGCACTATGTTTCTAAAGAGCCAAACATAGTTACACATTCGTATAAGACTATCTTAAATATTCAGAAATATTCAATGAAGTAGCATGTACATGGCTATAAACAGGAGTCATTCAAACATACAACTTAACCTGTTATTTCATACTAATACTAGTCTATGTTGTGAAACCTCGGTTGAGGTTTTCCATATCAGCTATTGCACTGACTTACTCCTCTAGTGTCTTGGCTGGGTTGTAGATGTGCAGAGTGTATCATACAAAATAATTGCTCGGTGTTTTGGTTTTTGAAATATGGGCAAGTTAGGATAAATTTTATAGATTATTGGACACAAATTTCTTAATAATTGATGTATATTTCCTTGGCAAAACACCTGGTCATAAAACTGGATGCTACAGAAAATTTTACTCTTATTCTCGACTTTCTTATTGTACTTCAATGCACAAAAAAACTTAGCTGATAATACTGGCTTTCCTAAAGTGATGACAATTCTCTATTTACTATTCTTAATCTAATTCCTTGCACAAGTACTTGAAGTATGACCTGCAAGCACTATTCTTTTATTGACAGCATTGGTGAAAAGGTCAAAACAGTAAAGGTCTGGTTTTTTGTTTTTTTTTTAAAAAAACAAACCAATGAAAAACAACCAGTTGTCCAAGAAGTCACTTAGATATATACTGTCAAGCAGATGAATTGAATGAAACTAAAAAGCCAAGGCACTCTGATCTTTGTGTCTTGTTTCTGTACTTAATTTTGTCATTTTAGTCTAACATGAATTAAAATAGAAAAGTAGTAACTGGATCTTACTGGTTCTTTATTACACAGGTAAACATAGGTTCTTATGCATGCCCTTTATTCTTTTTGGTTCTTGCTTTAAAAGTACAGGTCTGTTTTCTGCATGTCGCTTACTTTTAGGGTGATACCGTATTTGAATACATGAATATTAATCACTAAAGATAGTAGGAGACTCTTCTTTGTTAAATTCTTCCCTTTCCACTATATTAAGTTGCTCTTAATGGATGAGGATGAACTCAGTTCATCATTCTTACGACATTATCCTCCATCTTCTCAGTCTTACTCTTTGTTAGAACATCTGTGCCTTTTATTTGTCTTCTGAATGTAGTTCACAGATATGTTCGTGCTGTGAATTTAAATGTATGCTTGCATTAAAAACTGGAAAGTTATTTTGAAGCTTTGCAATATTTGAAGTAGAGTGCAAATAATGCTCCAGCAGGGGCCTAATTAATACAGAGTAGTATGTAGTTGGGGTGAAATACCGGGGCTCATTTTGTTCAATACCGCATCGGTGTCCTTGATGATGAGCCAGAATACAATCCCAGACAGTGATAGCGTGTTGGCAGAGGGGTGTAGTTGACAGTAAAGCTTTATTCAGAAGAGCCTTGAGGAAGTGAAGAATTTGGTGAATTTTGCAGTCTGGTTGGAGTAAGCCCATGTACCAGGAATTTCCAGACTGGGAATTGTGAATGGCTGAGTAAGGAGCCTTGCTGAGGAAGACTGGGGTGTTGCAGTGAATACCAAATTGAATGAGACAGCAGTGTGCCATCATTGCAAGTAAAGCAGATTTCATTGTCAGCTATATTAGAAGGATGGTGGGCAACAGAATAGGAAAAATTATCACGCTCTTCTCAATGGTGATCTGATGGTGGCCTGCTAAAGTAAAGAGACATGATTTGCAAGGAGGAGGAGCTGGGCTTGTTTAGTCTGGCAAAAAGGAGGTTAAGAGGTAATCTACTAGCCACCTACAACCACTTGAATGGTAATTGAAAATGATGGCACCAAAATTTCAGTAGTGACAAGTGGCATAACAACAAATGCTGGTGACCTTAAGGTGTGACTGGAGAGGTTAGGATCAGAAACTAAACAAACTTTACACCTACAGCTCAATATTGTAGCACTGAAAAAAGTTACTTGGAGAGGTTGTGGAACTTCAGTCCTTGGGGGCTTTCAGGACTCAGACACAGCCACAGCTGACCTTAGCTGTTTGTTAGTTCAGCTTTGTGTTGGGGTATCAGACCAGATGACCTCCAGAGATCTTTTCCACCAACTAATGCTTCTCTAATTTTTTGCTGGTTTATATCTCTTCCTTTCTTAGACTTCCTGTCTCACTAGGGCTGTCTCTGGGATATTTGCTGTCTATAAGTTTTCTATCTAGTGAGTTCCATATCAGTAGATTTTCTGATTAATTACTTTTTTTCTCCCCCGTAGAAGCGCATATTTTCACAGATTCACAGAATCACAGATTGGTAGGGGTTGGAAGGAACCTCTGGAGATCATGTAGTCCAACCTCCCTGCTAGAGCAGGATCACTTAGAGCAAGTTGCACAGGATCACGTCCAGGCGTATTCTGAATATCTCCAGAGAAGGAGACTCCACAACCTCTCTGGGCAGCCTGTTCCAGTGCTCTGTCACTCTGAAAGTGAAGAAGTTTTTCCTCATATGCAGATGAAACTTCCTGTGTTCTAGTTTGTGCCCATTGCCCCTTGTCCTGTCACTGAGCACCATAGAGAAGAATTTTCTATGTTATGTGTATTTTGTGGCAGAAGGTGAAGGGTGCAGACTGAAAACAGTGATCTTTAAACTAAGACTAGAACAGAAACAAGTCAGTTGATGGTCATAGAAGTCAAAGTCCATTGAACATGAGCATCCATTCATGGACATGTTTCTTCTTCAGTAGTGTCAGAGTCTCTTCTTCACCATGCTGTCTTCTGAAGACTTTTTGTGCTGCAACTAGTGCTGCCAACATCCAGCGTGGATTTCAGGCTCTGCAACCAGTCTCCCTCCAAATAATGTTTTTGTGTCCATTTATCAGGGTGTTTTTGTACTTCCTTTTTGTTGCAATGCAAGGACCCTTTCTCCATTATTGACTCTTCTTTGGAAGAGAATACCAGACCTCCCACACCTACCCCCTTTAGAGACAGCAGTGTTACTAAAGGAACTCTGCTCACCCTGTCCTTTGCTACTGATGTTGCTGTTGAACTCAAGTGTACGAGTTCTGCAGTTGTTGCTCTCTTCACTGTTCTGTGGATGGTACCAGATACCATCCTCTGCTTCTGGCAGTGAGCAGGTCCACAAATGTCGTCTTTCATCACTTAACACACCTTGATGTGTGTGGATGTATGCCATTTCCCTATAGCTTAAGATTTTTTGCTATGAGATGTCTTTTGGAAGGGAGAAGGTTTTTTGCACAAAAAATGGTAGGTTTTTTGTAGTCATCTCCCCTTGTACGAGGTTAAAGACTTTTATCATTACTTATTTTGGAAATAATCTTTGGCCAGTGCTTTCTCCACATTCAGGGACTGACCCCATTCAAAACCACTTTCTGTGGCCATTCTGCTTATCTTTTAGCCTGTGTGTGGATAGATGGCACTCTGTGTATGACTCTCTCAATTATCAGAGCTTTTATATATTTCTAGATGTCTAGCACCATACGATAGCTGTTACCATTGTAGTTAGAGGCCATAGTGGAGCCTGTCACACGTAGTTAGTATTTACCAGTGTCATTGTTATTTGCCTTGAAAACCCATTAAGAAACACACAATTCCATAGCCCGAGGTTCGGAGTTCTTTTTTACCTGTTCACTCCCTTTTAGGTATTGGCCCCTATAGTTTCGGAGATACCGAGAGTTATGTTTCAGAAATTAATTTCTGTTCTTCGGATTATTTGGAAAATTAATGTGATGACATGAACATTTTCTTCTTATTCCATTTCAGGTGAACAAAATGGTAACAGAAACCCTGGTGGGCTGCAAATTGGTGACCTTGTAAACATTGACCTTGACTTGGAAATTGTACAGTCTTTGCAGCATGGTCACGGAGGATGGACTGATGGCATGTTTGAAACCTTAACAACAACTGGAACAGTTTGTGGTATTGATGAGGATCATGACATTGTAGTACAATACCCAAGTGGCAACAGGTTTGTTATAAAGCCTTCGTCATTGATTCTCACAAACTTCATTTGGTTTCAGCACTTGTGATAACTTGGTGCCAGAAACTTTCTGTTCTCCTTTTGTGTCTATTAAAATTTCCTTGAGAATTTTACATTCCTTCTACAATGTGTAATAAGGGCTTAACCTTTAAAGATGCTTTAGCGGGAAAAGGAAGTTTGTTGCCTCTCATGGTGAAAATTTGAGTCCAAAATAATGAATGATGTTCTGGACTATGTTATTTCCAGAATGTAGTGTTTTAAGCAGTAATTTCTTTTTTTAATTACAAAATATCCCATGGTTTCAAGGGGAATGGTAATAGCAATGCATTGTGGGTTTTTGGGAAAATCGGTTAAAAAGACAGGTGACAAACTTTGTATGTTGGGGATCTTGTCTAATACAGAGTGACCTTGGCATGATCTATATCTAGTGTTTTCTTATTCAAAGCGATGTTACTTTATGCAAATGTGGACCAAGAATGGGCAGTGTTGGGGAAACTATTGCCAAAACCACTCCCTGCAAGCAGTTTAGGTTTGAAGTTTGAGCTGCATCCATGCTAACAGGATTTAAACTCAGCTCTACAGCTGGATCTGAGCTGATAAGTCCACATGGGTTCGTGTTGTCTTGCTCTCAAGTATTTGGCTTACCTTTAAAAAGCAGCTAATGAATATAATACCATTTCAGTTGTATCTGGAGACTGACCTGTTCAGTTCATCCAGAAAGGATTAACAGTGCATTATTCGTTCAGGCATTCCCTCAAGATACTGTTTGTTAATATTGTAAAGTCATGCAAAACAACGCTCTCCTGCTGGCTAACACAAGCTGAAGGGATGCAAGTGGCTTTTCTTCTGACAGTCATGGCTGCAGAGCCAGTGAGTGCAGCTGCTCTATCTTGTGGTTTCCTCCCTGATTTTGCCCTTTATAGAGATTATCTGATGCTTCTCAACTAGATCACATAGCTGAATAAAAGTCAACCCCAGACCAAATGGGCATGTAAAAGAGAGATAGCCATATTATGTATTAGAAGATAACTCAGCATAAAAACAGCTAAATGCCTCTAAACCAGTAAAATTTATAGTACAAATTAGGTTAAAATTGAGGTGTATCTACGACATCCATTTGATTGAAGAGTATTTTTATAACTGAATTTTGCAGCTTTTGACTTAGGAGGGAGGGGGTAAAATCCTATGTTCTTCCCATATTGTTTCCTGATAGTCCAATCCCTTGTGAGAGAGCTTGGATCTTCCCCTTTTCAACCAGAGTCATCTCCTCCTCTCACTGGAAATACAAGCAAACAGTATAGCTACTTTCAGGACTACTATATTGTTGTCGGCTTGCTTACCCTTAGGCAGTGCTTCTTCATTGCTTTACAACTGTACAACTGAAGATTACCCTGGAAATACTCAACTAATGAGCTACAGGCAAGTTTATGGGCAAAAATTGGTGAACAATAAATATGCCATAGTATCCACTTGCAGAAAGTTTGATGACATACAATCAGAATCTTGTCCAACAGATAATTTTTAAACATGTATTTCACTTCACATGTCTAAAATCTACTTTAAATGATTCATTGCTTAGGTGGACGTTTAATCCAGCTGTTCTCACCAAAGCCAATGTTGTCCGAAGTGGAGATGCTGCTCAAGGTGCAGAAGGAGGTACCTCTCAATTTCAAGTGGGAGACCTTGTTCAAGTATGTTATGACTTAGAGCGAATCAAGCTTCTTCAGAGAGGTCATGGAGAGTGGGCTGAAGCAATGCTTCCAGTAAGTAGTTGTATGTTTGAATTCATAGAATGGTAAAACTTGTATAATATTTCTAGGTATGTTTGGTAATAATACCTGGAGGTTGTGGGAGTCAGAGATTTTTCCTCTAAGTTAGAGGAAGTGTATTTCATTAAACATGGTGTAATGCATGCTCAGATGTGGTAATATGCTTGGCCTGATGAAACGTAGCTAAAGGTAATAGTGACTATACTATTAAATAACTGACTTCATAAAATTTGTGACTTCTTATAACATTCAGATTTCTAAATATTTTATATTTATTTGCATTTGATGTTTTCTTTAATGCAGACTTTAGGTAAAGTTGGTCGGGTCCAGCAGATCTATTCAGACAGCGACTTAAAGGTAGAGGTTTGTGGGACATCTTGGACGTATAATCCAGCGGCTGTCTCAAAGGTGGCATCAGCAGGATCTGCTATAAGTAATGCATCTGGTGGTAAGTTTGAAGAATACCAGTAATGTATGTATGGCGAGTATTTATGTTAATTAAAAACTAGTAAGTACTGGTACATAGTTTGTATGCAAGGTTAATAATACTCAGACTTGGGTTTTGGCTAACTGATGTTATACCTTAGCAAAAGATACAAGAAAAAGCTTATAGTCGGTATGGAGATGTTGGTTATTGTTATTGTATCGTATTGATAAGGCACAAAAACTCCAAATAGAATTTCATTTTCTGTTTGACCACAGTGCAGATGTGTCTGTGGAGGTCTGCTCTAAGGACTTTAAAATGTGAATGATTGGAAGGAACATTAGGTTGTGACAGGGACTAAGGCATGAAGAGTGTCACTGGCTGTAGCAAGCAGACTCCTTGTTTAATAGGTGGTGTGGGATAGCAAGCATAAGCGAGGGATGTGTTGCAAGCAGTTACTCAGGATAATATTATTTCCTTAAAATTTCTGTCTTAAAATTTATTCAGACATCCTTTGACTAATTACAGTGGGATTTTTTTTTGTATGTGTCTATGTAAGCACACTTCAGTTCTGTTGAACCTGCTCCCGTTCATCTAATAATGAGGCAGAAAGACTATCCAATGTGTTTTATGTTCTGTTGGCTGTTTCACAGATCAATTAAACTAGAATGTTTTTCCTCTTTTTGGTCAGAGCTAGTTGTTTTTTTCCTCTTTGCATCTTTGCTTTAATGCCAAGAAACCTTTCTACTAAGTTTTCTAGACCTTTTCCTAGGGAGGCATAGATACAGTGAGTTTTCTGCAGCAAAGATAAAGCCACAGGGGCCATAAAACTAGCTAGAAGAGTGATATGACTTAGTGTTTCAAATCACAGAGGACAGGGTATACCCTAAGTTAAGCTAGAAGACTAAAAAGCCTGTTATATCAATATGTAAATTCATGTTTTTACCTCCTCCCTACCCTTCTGTATTTTGTGGTAGACAAGCTATTGTGGTTCAGTCAACTTTGTTTTGAAGTACCTTATGTGACAGTCTCAACTATCTAAAGGGTATTAGGGTGCAGCACTTAGAACTGAATAGTAACTTACAGCAGCCATTTTATGGTGTTCTGTGTATTACTATGTACATGCCTTCAGAAACATGGCAAATTTAGCTGTTATTTTTCTGTTCTCATGTGATTAGAATTGTAATTTCAATTGTTCTTTGTTTAATAATTATAGAGAGATTGTCCCAGCTGTTGAAGAAATTATTTGAAACCCAAGAGTCCGGAGATCTCAATGAAGAATTGGTTAAAGCTGCTGCCAATGGAGATGTTGCTAAAGTGGAAGACCTGCTAAAGAGACCAGATGTCGATGTGAGTGTTCTGGTTTGGAAGGACCTGTATGCTGTTCTGGGGACCTGTAATACTAAAGGAAGTGAAGCTGTCCTACATACTCCTTGCCAGTCACTAGTGTGTCTGCATAGAAGTAGTACAGCTGATTCCAGTGTCTCTTCTCCCATTTGTTGTCCTATGCAATGTGTTGGAGTGTGTGTGAATAGTGCTTTACACCCTTTTTCACTGGACAGATTTTGTGTTCTATTGTCTGCCATGAATTAAAATACCTTCCAGCCTCTGCCAGAGTCAGGGGAGAGAACCAAACACTCACAATTAGTGAAGGGTCCTCAAGTTCTTTTGTTTTGAGGGGGTAGAAGGAAGGAGGGTAGATTTGGGGGACTTTTTGCTGTTGTGTGTTGTGTTCTGGTTTTGTTTTTTTAACTCACAAGGTAGATCATCTAATCTGTTCCCTGACAGATTCCTTTTACCAACTTGTGTAATCACTTGGTAGTGAAAAGTCTAAAATAAAATGCTTAAGAATTATAGGACTTGATTCAGGGAACATGTTTCAAAATCACAATCAGATGTTTTTCTCATTACACCAGTAGTAATTCTTGCAGATAAGAGACTAAACTCCATCAGTTCTGAGGACTGATTTGTAGCTCAGGATTATACAAAACATGGTATTTTGTTCATACCGACTCTTGTTGTTGCCATAAATTAGAAAATTAAATATACTGTAGAGCAGAGGACTGGTATTATTCCAAGACCTGTTCTCAAAGTCTTGCCTTTACAGTAGCCCAAAGATGAAAGTTTTTAATCCAACTAGAGTTAAGGTCTTAATGTTTGAGATAAATCCATTTCTTCTTCTTTCCTTCAATCTAGCTAATGCTATAGAAATGAAGTCGAGAAGACCTAGGAGATTATCTGTGCCAGGCATGCAGCTGTCTAAAAAACTGTTCATTTGATACATTTGATACTTTCGTATCACACTTTTGCCCAGAGGGGTTGTGGAGGCCCCATCACTGGAAGTGTTCAAGGCCAGGTTGGATGAGGCTTTGGGCAACGTGGTCTAGTGGAGGGTGTCCGTGCCCATAGCAGGGGGGTTGGAACAAGATGATCTTTGAGGTCCCTTCCAACCCAAACCATTCTATGATTCTATGATATGCCTGTTGTTGGTTTACATTTTCTAGTACACTTGTATGTATACTGCTAAAGTGTCTCGTGGCGGGGGTGCGTGTATCCTGCAACTTACCTCAAAGTACTGATATGCTTCTAGGTGAATGGACAATGTGCTGGACACACAGCTATGCAAGCTGCTAGTCAGAATGGCCATGTCGACATTTTGAAGTTGCTTCTGAAACAGAATGTGGATGTAGAAGCAGAGGTAACCTAAATATTTCAAAATACGCTTTGTGTCTCCTTAAGTTTTAAACTTTGCTACATACAGAAATAACAGTTCTGTTGGAGTTCCCTTCTCTTTAAATGTCAGAGAGAGTGAAAAACTGCTGTTCTTACTGTGATTATGTCCCCAAGTTAGCCTCCTTCTCACAATATTACAAAGGGTCAATATCCAGTTCTTTAGCACCTCTAATTAAGTGCAATATAAGACTAATATATTAGAGCTGTGTAACCTAGTATGTGGTTGTAGTGGATGAAACCCCTTCTTTATTTCCTTTATCTAATTTCAGCAGTAGAATGCAATAGGCTAGCCTGTGGCATTCAGGGAAGAAGATGTCGGATGCTGCCATCTCCAACTTCAGATGCCTGCTGTGCTTCTTATATACAGTGTTCAGTTAGGAGAAAGTTTTCCATTCTTAACTAAAGCAAGTTTGAGCAGAAAGTAATAACAGTATCTTTGGGTAGCAACTGCCCACTCTGCTTCCAGTTTTTCAGGGTTGGTTGGGGTTTTTTTAGCTTCACCCAAAATGGAAGGATTTCTTTAGTTTGGGTTTTTAAGAATTATTCTTTGTGAGAAAATTATCTGTCAGCATACAGTGATATTTGCATTTTGAGTTGATTTTGCCTTGTTACTTACACAGAACACACTGATATTGAAGCCTTTGCTCATTTTGTGAGGCGCAAGAAGGATCTGTCAAATTTATCTTGTTAAGAATACAAATTAAAGCCTAATAGAATGCTTAGAAGTTAATAGCGTGCCCAGTCATTGTTTGCATAACAGATAACTTTATATACTTGGGCATTTAGCTTTATATTTTGTTTGATATACAGAAGTTATAATATGTTAATATATTAATGAAGCAATAGTGTAACCCTTGGAACTAAAATTATTTTTATATTCACAGATACACCATTACTTTATAAAGGTTTTCTGCTAAATGGTACAGATGGCTTAGATTTGATGTAGTACATATGTGCCGTGGCTTGATTTCTGTGAAGTAGCATCATTTTAGAAGTTGTGCTTTCACTATAGTATATAGCATATACTGTAGTATGTAGTACTACTGTACTGCGGGATCAAAGTTGCTGTGTTAAGTGGTGGACTGATACTTCTCTAGTATACGGAAGGGTTAGAAGCATTAGAGAGGGAAGTAGAAGCACTGCTTACACAGCTTCAAGATAATACACCTGGTAATCAGCTAGCATTAGAATTGTTCAGAGTTCATGTTTGCTCTCAGGCTTCAGAAGTATTGTAACACCACCAGTAAAAAATATTTTCAGGGTTTTTATTTGAATTTTCAAGCCTTTTTCATGTAACTGAGTTAAGTGAAGATGATATTCCTACTTAATTATATAACATAGTATGATTAGATTAATGTTTATATGTTTCAAGCTTTAAAAAAAAGTCAGCTGTCTATAAATTAGCGATGTAAAGACGCAGCAGAGCCATCCCATTAAGCAGAGTGCAAAAATTTAGTCCGTGTACTTCACTGACAAATTACCACATATCGGTGAAATGAAGTGCTATGTAAATATAAATATTGTGACAGTTTAACACTACTGTCATGCTCTTGATAAGTTTTAAATCATAATGATCTTTATAACCAGATGAGAAGTACGGAGTAGTTCCTCTTTCTGATCTTTTCCCCTTCCAAATGGGCAAGCTTTGGCTTCTTTTGACTGTTTATTTGTTAGATTACCCTGAGAAAAAATCCTGCTATCTTAGAAGACAATTTCATGCATGAGTTGATTTGGAAGGCATAAAAATATCTTGCTTTCAAAAGCTATTAAAGCAGCTGTTTAGTGCCCTGACAATCTTGAAAATCGTATTCATCTTTCCCAAAAGATATATTTGATAATTAGCAGATAAGTCTCCTTATATAATTTTTTAAATACTGTAACTAGTCTCATTGTTATCTTACAATTGTGCAAATACAGTTTATGCTAAGAATGATTAATTTTGGCATTGATGTAAAATATATTAGAAATGTATTACACATAATAAAAATGACTTTTGAAAGACCTTGTTGAAGGAGAAGCATAAGGAGAAGCTTCTTGAAGGATAACAAGAAGTTTTCTTGTTGATAAGAGAAACTAAGCTTACCCAAGAGAGGCATCCAGTGTGCCTTTGATCAGTCATGATTTTATCTTCTCCTTACAATTTTTGGTATTTCTCCATCGTCAAAATTAAATCATACAAATACAGTGCAATATTCCACTGTGCACAAAAATTTATTTAGAAACTAGCTTATCGAAGTTATTATTTCATTGAAACCTGTTATTACCTTCCATTTTACTTTTAGCTTTTGTATACTGTCATTAATGTTGAAGCCACTGGACTAATATTTCAAAATGTTTCATGTAGTGTACAGTCCACTCTTACGGATGTTAAAATAACCCAAACTGACAAATTTGACTTTCATACCTTAATTCTCAGTTTGGATGAAACTGAAACAAACAGAATTTAATTGGAGCTTTAATATTGTGAATCGTCATCATAGAATCAGACTTTATAATTAATTTCAGCATCAGTCCCAAATTTCCTTTGGAAAAGGTTTATTAACTGAAAACTAAGACACATCTAATAAACCCTAATAAATATTAGCTTAATTGTATGAACAAGGCAATTCTCTTATCCCAGGATTTGGAATCTGTAACTCTTCCTGGGTTACGGGAAGGGTTATCTTGGGTTACTGAGTGTAATGGTTTTTGGGTTTGGGGGGTTGGATTTTGTTAGTGGGTTTTTTTGATAGCGGTTGTTTTGTAGTAGAAACCCAAAAAAATCCATTCATGTTTCTGATGAACACATCACTCAAAGACACAGGGCAATAGTTGTATATGGTATAGAATATTGTATGTCATAGAATATGTATGTTTATATACGAACAGACTCTTCATACTCTGTTGTAGTTTGAGTAATTATTTTGATTAGGTATTTGAATGGTATCATGCTTGTCTAATTTTTCTTTAAAGAAATCAAATATGCACAATTGTTCAGTTTAAATTAATCTTCTTGTTTAAATGCAAAGGAAATGTGGAATGTACTGGGTCAAATTAATGTTTCTACTTTAGGACAAAGATGGAGACAGGGCTGTCCATCATGCGGCCTTTGGTGATGAGGGTGCTGTGATAGAAGTCTTGCACCGAGGCAGTGCAGATTTGAATGCTCGTAACAAACGCAGGCAGACTCCCCTTCATATTGCCGTCAACAAAGGTCATCTGCAAGTTGTGAAGACTTTACTAGACTTTGGCTGCCATCCTAGTCTCCAGGTAAAGTAAATATCAATGTAGATTCACTTTTTAGCCACTGAATTTTATGATTTGTAGGTGATAGAATAATTATGGAAAATGGGATTGAAAGGAATGGACCCTGTGAAGTTATCTGTTCCAGCCTCTACCCCAGCATGTGATCAGCTGTAATAAAAATGCTATTAAATCTCTTTGTTTTCTTGGCAGCTAGATAGGCACCTGATTTATTCTAGCCAGTTGATGTTAATTGGTATTTTCACAGACTGTAGTTATCTGTAATTGTTAGCTTTCTCTCCAGATTAATTCCTCCTCTGTCGAATCCACAGCTGTTTGCTCCTGCAAGTGACAGCTTTGCATTTTTTGGCTGATAATACTGTGGAATGTTTCGTTAAATATTTTTTTCAGAATTGACCTGTCATTGATAGAACTATTTAGCCAGATTCTCTGTTAAATGTTCATCCTTTTACCTAAAAAACTCTCACGCACAGGGCCTCAAGTACCATCATTTCACAGGGAGTTTTATCTGTGATGAATGTGGCGGAAGCTGTAACGTAGGACTGCAATGTCCTGTTGAGAAGGTAGAGTAGAAACCTGCTGTCAAATAAGCAGGCATCCACATTCTGCATAAGCTGAATGCAGCCACATGCAGGACATTAGTAAAACAAATCAGAATGGGTAAATTTGAAGAGATTTGCAACAGAAAGAAAAAGCTGTAATGTCCTGGGCAAATCAAGATACACAGTAATAACGCATTTACCTCCTTGTTTTCCCATGTCAATAATCAGTGATTTATTTTTTTTTATGCTGTATATCCACATGAAGACGAGCAAACTTTCCTGAAATTAGTGAATATAGTGATTATTTATCTGCTTCCACCTGGCTTTGTAGGTACTGTCTTGATCTTGCTGAGGTTGAGCTGTTGGCCAGCTAATACCCATCCAGACCCTATTTAGTATTTGTTGAAAAGTGGATGTAATGAGGCGTCTACTGCGTTGAGCTCAATAAAGGGTGACTGTATATCATGTAATGATGTAAGATATATGGGTAGCCAAAGTGGATGTGCCTGACTAAATTTGTCTGTTTCAATTGAAAAATTCAGTAGAATGGTGCTATGAAACACCATCTGGAAAATATAATTGTCATTGAAAATAATGAACCTTCAGATCCTGCATGTGTGCTGAGGAACTCGGATGTGCAGTAGGTAGTTGATTTGGTGGATGAGAGCACAGGGGAGTCAGACTGAGGCATGACTAAAATTTAACTGGCCAGCACTCCACTACTCAGGCCAATTCACTGTGTGAACAGAAATGTGTGTTGGTCTGTAAACGGTAGATTCAGGAAATATGATCAGTTAAACCAAATAAAAGCTACATAGTTTAGTTTTGGCAAACTGCTTCATACTGGTTCGAGTGTTTCCCATGATCTGGCACTTTTTGTTTGGCAGTTTTTGATTTTCACTGTTAAGATTTGTTTTCATATTAGTGTATTGCTAAAATGTTCAGTTCCTGTGTTAGTCAGTGTGCAGTTGAGTCAGTGTCAGTGACAAAAGACTTCCCGACTTATATGGTGGTAAAATTTTACTGGAAGCATAAATCTAGAGAGTTTGCCTATACAGCAGCAAATAAGCTTAAATGGATGTGTTTTCTCACGGTTAGTCTAGGGCATTCCTCTTCAGTCCAACCATTTGGGTCCTTGAATAAGTAATGTACAAAACGCTTCTATGAATAAAAAGTATTTTTCCCTTATTTGGGATATTTGCAAAGTAAAGTGTCAAGCTGAAAATATAAATTCTTTGCCTTTTCAGTTATGCACTGAAATCAGGAGTTGGTTGATGATCCTTATGGGTCCCTTCCAACTCAGGGTATTCTATGATTCTATGATATTTTTATGTACCTTATGTAATGTAATCTGGTATTAGCTGTAACAAGTTTAAAAGCTTAATACTGCTTATGACATGGCCTTTGCTTCATGGAAGTGGATCTGCTTCAGTTAAAACACTGAATGCACCTAAGTTCATTACTTGGACTGCATTTTATTTTGATTTGCTTATGCTTTTATTTCACCCTGTCTTTTTGGTATTGTCTTTTACGTGGTTAATTGGCTCGATCTTAGCATTCATTACTCAAAATTCTCTGCTTCCTTCTGCCTGACTAGTCTGCTCTCTGTTGTGTTAGTTTTTGTTGCTGTCCTATTAATCATAAATCGTAACTTGGGTATCAACTCCATCTGGATATGAGGCATAGAGAAGCTGATGTCTACACCAGTGTCCTCAGTACTATCAGATGCAAGGCGTATTTGAGCTCTGAGTTTGAGTTCTGGTAGTATTGTAATCGTAGAGTACTGGAGCCCCAGGTAGGATTACCCACTGAAGCATTGGCAAAGCCAGAGCAAGATCAGAAGCTGCTTGCTCTGAACTCTGCAGCATAGCAACACTTTTAGGTCTGAAGAACTGTTTTGCGTTTGTGTGGTCAGTTTTCCTAGTGATATTTAAGCATCTTTTTTTCTTTAGTGTGGATGCATGCCAAAATTGATGTAAACTGTTTCTCATTTTAGGATTCTGAAGGTGACACTCCACTCCATGATGCAATAAGTAAAAAGCGTGATGACATCCTTGCTGTATTGTTAGAAGCTGGAGCAGATGTTACTATCACCAACAACAATGGGTTTAATGCCCTTCACCACGCTGCACTAAGAGGAAACCCTAGGTAAAGATTTGTTTTAAAGATTATTTTATCATTTGTAAAAGAAAAACAAGTGCATAGGAGGGTAGAATTATGGTATTCTTTCACAAGATCCTTAAACCTGCATGTAATATTTCTTAAATTTTTATGTTGCTTAGACAAGCATCTTTTTAATACTTGGGAAGCCATTATTAGAATGAAGCTACTAGTCTGCTCAGTTTAATGCTGTATTCAGGTAACTCCAAATCCCTGGGAAATTTCCTGTGGTGGCTGTAAAATTTTGCCAATAAAGGTTTTTGATAAGTAAGTTCTTAAGATGGGATCTTAAGATAGGATTTGTAAAAATGTTTCCCTTCTCGAATATTGGAATTGGGAAAGGGATTTGAATTTTTAAGGAATGCTTATTTCTGAATAATTATTAAATATACTATGCAGATATGAAGTGTTCTTAGGATTGTTGTGTTAATTTATATTTGTCAGTATAAGAAACATTTAATGTTGTTTTCTTAGAAGTATGTATAGAAGGAATTTCTTATTTCGGCTTTTATATAGCAGGTCATCTGAAAAAGTTAGTTTTAAGGCATAATTTGTTTTATGCTAAGCTGCATACTATACATTCACATTCAAACTTCAGTTAAGATAGCTTTCAAAAACTATTGCATAAATAGAACTTAATGGAAAACATGCTGCATTGCTAGTTTATTACATTATGGATAAACAGTATTGTTCAGAGCTGTCATTCTAGCAAGACTTCAATAATATTTTAGTGTATGGTGGAGAATTCAGTGTAGTTTACACAGAATAAGAATTCAGTGTAGTTTACACAGAATAAGAAATGTATATGTTTACTTGTCCAACTCCACTCAACTGAAAAGTAGAATTTAGTAGTAAAGTTGGGCATATAAGGCTGTATATTAATATATGGGAATAAAATCTGGGTTAGTCTCTTAGAACATAGCTATCCAGACTGATAGTTAAAAAGTAAACATAAGTATTTATATATGTATAGGGAATGGAATCACTTGACAAATTGAAAGTAGTGGTTGGAAGTGTCGATAGGAACGATAAATGTGTTTACCGTTTTCTGCAGTGCTCATAAAAGGTCTGTAAAAGGACGTGTCAAGAACCTAGTGAAGGGAGCTTATTTTTGGCATTTAGAAGACAATTCTTTCAAGTCTGACATGGTAACTTCACTTGATGTGAATTCTCCATGTTTACATAACAGCATTAGTCAGGAGTACTGTCTCCTGTGTCCAGTTACCTAGGTGGGGTATTTTTTGTTAGTTTTTTTGTTCTGCAATGCTTTCCTTAGGCTCTTGTGATATTTGGTTTGCGTGATTGTGGTCTCAATATGAGATGCAGGGAAAGTGCAAGGGAAAAAAAGCTCTTCAGAGAGATGCTGAAGATTTTTCTGTGAGTGTATGTTTTAGGAGTGGCAGGCTTTTTCTCTGATGGGGAGCGCCAAATTGTAGTTCAGACTGGGTCAGTTTGGTTGGTGGAATGTGAGGCATAATGCAGTTTTTCTCAGAATCCTCTTTCCTTTACAGAAGCTTTTATTGGAAGAATAGGAAAATATTTCCAGTATTAGTGATTGGAACCCTGTGTAGGTTCCCCCATACGTGGGGTTTCACTTGCATCTAAAACAGATATCTGAAGCTGTTGGGTATCTACTTTTTTGGTTGCATTTGCATCTAAGCACTTCTGAAGCACATAAAAAGAGAGAATGTTGTCTCCATCACAGCAGTAGTAGTCCATTTGTTCACAGCATTAGTATTTCACACACCAACCTGGGAAGAAAGTCATGAAAATGAAACCAAAAGAAAACTATGTTTAAAAATCCCCCCCCCCCCCGCCAAAAAAATCATAATAGTTTGACTCATTTAGGAGTTAAGGTTTTTATTTTCTTTAAGACTTTAGTGATAGTAATTTATTTCATTGTTGATTCTGTAGTTCTACTACTGGCCTGTTTCTGAATGAAACTAAAGGTTTTATATTTGCCACTTTGTTTTTCTAATCTGATAGAGAACAATGGATATTACTAATCTGGTAAATGCACTAAGCACAAGCTATTTAAAACACTGTTAAAAATAACCTCCTGAACTTCAGCTTGTAGCTGATATGGGTCACAAGCAGTACATAATATATTCTCCTTGAAACCTTACTTAAGGACCTATCTTTCCTAATCTAAGATTTCCTGCTCCACCTAAACTGGTGTTCTTGTGGCCTCGGGCTGTGGTGCTTTATATGGAATACAGAGCACAAAATTCCCCCAAATGTCATATACATAAAGATATTATGTCATTTTATAATTATTATTTTATAAGAGTTAAGCATATATTAAAAAAAGCATGTATGCATATCTATACATATAAAACTAAAATACTTACTATGTATGTAAGTATTGATAAAGTCCACATCCACCTTCCTTGTTAATGATAATAAAATAAACACATGTTTTAAGTGTGTGGATACCACAATAAAGTGAACTAGATTTCTGTAGAATTTTTTACAGAATTTTTAACCTATTTTCCAAATAGGTATTTGGA